TTTTACCATTAATGCATATTTATATATGTATACATACTTTCATTTGCTGAATATTACAGTTTTGCTTGGTTTTGACACTGAAAATGATGTTAAACTCTAGCCTTCTGAGGCTTGGGGTATTTTCAGTGTCAATGCTACTAAGACTTATCTATGCTGTTGCATGTAGCTGACTTATCACTGCATAAAATAGACTTTAGTGTGAATATATATTGTTGCTTGATGTAGCACATATTTAGATCTGTACTCACAGGCTTGTATTTCTGTTTTCTTTTGTTTCTCTAGCCATGTAAGTACTTAAACACGAAGTTCAAATCTACCTTGTTTAGCAACTGCCCTTTGGGTAAAAGCTGCTGCAGTGCTTTGTGTACCACTCAGGGTTATGACTTTATTTTTACATTTTTTTCTTATTCTGGGAATTTTTAAGATCTACTCCCTTGACAACTTTTAAATGTAAAATACATTATTAAATAGTCACCATGCTGCACGTCACATCCATAGGACTTACTTAATGTATAACTTCAAGTTTGTATCTTTTGACTTCATTCTTTCTGTCCGCCCCTCCCCCCATCTCTGGCAACCATCAATTTTCTGTATCTGTGAGTTTGAGGGTTTTTGCTAGATTCTGCATGTAAATAAGTTCACCTTTTCATGAATTATTTCACTTAGCATAATGCCTTCTGGTTCATCCATGTTGTTGCAGATGGCAGTTTCCTTTTTTATGTCTGAATACTGCAGTCTGTACACATTCTGTACCACTTAAAGATGGGTTACCTTCAGCAAAATGTGTCATTAGGCTATTTTGGCATTGTGTAAATGCCTGAGTATAACTACACACACCTAGGTGCTAGAGCCTGCTGCACACCTCCACTCCCTGGTATAGCCCGTTGGGCCCACCAGTGTATATGTGGTCCATTGTTGACCGAATCGTTAAGTGATTATTGTAATGATAATCATATATACCATGACATCTTTATCCAGTCCCCCATTAATAGACACCTATGTTGTTTCCATGTATTGGCTATTGTAAATAATGCTGCAATGAATATGGGGGTGCAGAGACCTTTTCAAATTAGTGTTTTTGTTTCCTTCAGATAAATATCCAGAAATGGGATCACATAAATAATTCTGTGTTTATGCTTTTGGCGAACCACCATACCGTTTCCCATAGTGGTTGCATAAAATTATATTTTCATGAACTCTGTACAAGGTTTCACTTTTCTACACATCCTCACTAACACTTGCTCATCCATGTTTTTTAATAGTAGCCACTGTAACAGCTGTGGTTGGCATCTTACCGTAGTTTTGATTTACATTTCTGATTAGTGATGTGGAACACCTGTACGTGTTGGCCATCTATGTATCTCCTTGAGAAAATGTATTAAGTTCTTGGCCCATTTTTGAGTTCTACTACCTTTTTCTATTGAGTTATATATTTTGGATACTAGCCCTTTCATAGATGGATCATTTGCAAATATCCCATTTGGTAGGTTATCTTTTCATTTTGTTGATAGTTTCCATTGCTGCACAGTTTTAGAGTTTGATATATAGTCATATCACCTAATGTTTTCATCAACAATGAACCAAAAATATGGGTGGTCCTAGTAGACTATATCTCATAAAATCTAGGTGTGTAATTATACTGATATTCATACAATGGTGAAATTGTATAACATGCTTCTCAGATGTATCTCTGTTGCTAACTGATGCAAGACTATATAGTCTGGTTTGTTTCTGCTTTTGTTGCCTTTGCTTCTGGTGTGAAATCCAAATTGTCCTCTTTTCATCGTATATTATTGGCTCCATTATAAATTCACCACACATGTGAGGTTATTTCTGGGCTTTCTAGTATATTGACAATTGTTGCATTTTTTTAATATTTTATTTTATATAATTCTTACATCATTTTTCATTTTTGCACAATGTATGCATTTTCATTTTGGTTATATTCCCCAAATAATTGCACCCCCCCTATTTTGACCCTAATCCTTCCTCTCCCCACCCTTCCCCCCACTACCAGTAGTGTGTCTCTGGTTTATAGTTGCTTGTTGATTTTGATTTTTAAATTGTATTAGTCTTTTTCCTAGTTCTTTTTTTTTTATGCCAACACCATACTGTTCTGATTGCTATAGTTCTGTATATTTTGTTTAAAATCCAGACTAATCATACTTCTGGACTTGTTATTCTTTTGAAACTTCCAGCTACTCATGGACTTTTGTGATTCCCTATAAATTTTAGGATTGTTTTTCTATTTCTGTGATAAAGGCCAGTGGCATTTTAATAGTGATTGCATTGAATCTGTAGATAACTTAGGTAGTATGTATATTTTAACAATATTAATTCTTCTAAACATGAGCACAAACTATCCATTTATTTCATCAGTGTCATAGTTTTCAGAGCACATGTATTTTACATTTTTGGTTAAATTATTTTTTTTTTAAAGATTTATTTATTTATACAAGCACTGGGTACAGTCAGAAGCGTGGGAGGGTGAGAAAAATCACCAAGGCCAGAGTGGGGAACAGACCAGGCAGACTGATGAAATACACTGCTGAGGGGAGCAGCGGGTGGCAGGTGAGGTCTACGCGCCATGTGGGACCCTCGCCGGCAGCTGGGGATCGAACCAGTGCTGCAGAGGCTGCGGGCAGCTTCACAGCCCAGCGTTCAACAGCTGCACCACCGGGGAGGCCTGTTGGAGGCGGCCACCCCACGTAGTGAGCAGAAGGGCCTTGACCCGAGTCCCTAAGGCATGTGAAAACACATGTGACTCGGAGGAAAACCTCTGAGTGACAGGACTTGGTGATGAGAGCCTGGAAAGTGACCTGCATGGAGTCGGGCTTCTACATCTCCACAGTCTGAGAATAACAAAATGGAGAGATCCTGTGCAGTGAGCAGAAGGGCCTTGACCTGAGTCCCTAAGGCATGTGAAAACACATGCGTCTCGGAGGAAAACCTCTGGGTGACAGGACTTGGTGTTGAGAGCCTGGAAGTGAACTGTGTACATCTCCACAGTTTGAGAACAACAAAATAATGAGCGAACTTCCCAGGCTCTGGCTAGGAGGCGATAAAATTAGTGTGAGAACTAACCACCTGGTACCCTACTGTCTGAAGTAAATAGATAATAGTAAGAAAATAGACTAATCATTCATACGTGTTATCATTATATGGTATGCTTTGATGTTACACCTGCTGCAATTAAAATAGTATATAATGAGCACTAAGACAATAAAGATTTACTGCATGCTGAACATGACAGTCCCCCATGCCTGATTTCCCTCCCCGTCGTGTGCCAGGTTTGGACTCACTAGAAGTCCACAGAGGCCCTCCTATGTCTTTTCATGCAATTGTAAATGGAATTGCTTTCTTAATTTCTCTGATAACTTAGACATGAAATAGATTGATTTTTGCATCCTTCAAGTTTATGAATTTTTCAGTAGTTCAACAGTTGTGTGTGTGTGTGTGTAGTCTATGGTTTTCTATATATTACATCTGCAAGAATGTTACTTTTCCAATTTGGATGCCTTTTATTTTTTTTCCCTGACTAATGTAGTTAGAGATAAATGTTTTGATTTTTTTTATCTTTGAATGTTAACTGTGGTTTGTCATGACCTTGTTATGTAGAATGAAGGTATACTTACATACTGAGTTATTATAAATGGATGGTGAATTTTGTCTAATGTTTTTGTCTATTTTGATGACAATACGATTATTATCCCTTAGAAAATGTGCTGTATTACACTGATTTATTTGCTCATATTAAAACATCCATCCCTGGAATGAATCCACTTGATCCTGGTATATGAGGCTTTTATTGTATTGTTGATTTTTGGTTTGCTTATATTTTGGTTTTTTTTTTTTGTCTGTTCATCAGGGATATTGGTATATAATTCTTTTCTTCCTGAACTGTTCTTGTTTTAGTATCCCAGTAAAGCTAGCCTTGTAAAATGAGTTTGGAAATGTTAACTTAGTTTTGGGGAGAGCTTGAGGAGAACTGGTATTAAGTCTCCTTTCAATGTTGGGAAGAATTCACCAGCGAGGTCACCTGGCCTAGAACTTTTGTTTGTAGAGTTTTTCTGATTACTCACTCTGTTGTTGTTTTAGTTAGTGCACTCTGTATTGTACTCTCTGTGGGGGTAACTGGCTTTTGCTTCAGATGTGGGGGACCCACAGACACAATTCCTACAAACATAATCAAGGGGCATCTCCAGCATGGCACTGTAAAAAACTGGGACACCAAAGTATGCCTATGTTGCATGGTGGTGTCTACAGACTACAACTGAAAGCTTGAAGTAAATCTGAAAATATTTTTTATTGAAATGAAATTATTTTAGGGAAGTTAAGAAAAATGGGTAAACAAGACAATAATATATCAATAGTCCCATTCAGAAATTCTGGGATATACTCATGTTATTATTATGTGGGAGAAACAGGAAGAATTATGCCAGGAAGCAAAAAGAAAGGCTTTGAATTTTATCTTATTTGATTACAAGTTTTAAATGCCAGCAGTGGGCATTTTATTTTAAACCATTTCATGCTTGGCATCCTCTGTTTAAACAATGCTGGTAAATGATTTGATGTATGAAATAGCCTGGAGAAGCAAGTGAATTTCTACTTAAAAAAGCATGAGTTGTTGCTTGATTGGTCATTCCCCAACCAGGTGCTGGTACTGAATTATATTCCAGCCAATCGTGCCCCTCATTTAACTTGTTCCTCCACACGCTATCTCATGAGAGCCTTACAGGGGGACTCAGGTAACTTGTTGCAGTGACACCCTTCAAACACTCAAAGAACAGGAGCCCCCAGCCTGCTCTCCTGTCCCTTTGGAATGGCCCCAGCCCATTGGGTGTTTATACCTCTACTCTGCACATGGCAAGCAGATAGTGTCATTTGTTCTGGCTGGCTAAGGCTGACTCTGCTCTCTTGGTTAGTTTCCTAGGCGGGGAACTAAGTAAATAAATCCAGGTTCTATGGGTCCCAACAGGTTCTATGACTTAGGCCACGTCTCATAAAGGGCCAAGAAATTACATCATCATAGATCAAGTGGGTAAGAGATTATTTTTTTATAAGGAGGATTATCTGGTTTTGGTTCAAAGAAATTTTAAAATTTACTATCCGTAGGAATTATTTATTCATTAAATAAAGAACTCTGTTGGAGCCCCACTGCCAGTGTCACACGTAGAAGAGTGTTAGAGCCACATCCTTGGGGTACCTCTGGTTAACAAAACCCCTTGAAAGAATACTGTGATGGAAGTTTGGAGCCTTGGGTTCTACCTCTAGGTTTATTGCATCTCTTTAGACAAATCAATTACCATCTCTGGTCCTTAGCTCCCCCTTATGTAAAATGAGAGGTAGAAGTGATAATTACCAAGGTCCCTATGTCAAAGGATCTAGGATTCTGTGGCTGGCCTGCCTCATGCTCTTGTTGTAGGGAGAGCATAAAACACTTTTGATAGCCACTAACTTTTTATACATGAAATACTGTATTAAGAGATGCCATTGGAACTTGGATTCAACAATTGTACACCATGATCCATTGAGCATTTAGTGAAATGGTCTTATCTGTCAGTTAGGATAATCTCTGCTTGTTTAGAAGGTTGATGTGATTATTAAATGAAACAGTTCCTAGTATAGAGTAGGTGCTCAATAAATTTTCATTCCCATATTATTGTATAGATACACATCAAGAGACATAATAGGATTAATTTCCTCTTAGAGACTGAAGAGAGAAAGAGCAAGTGTGTGCTACAGAGGTTCAGTCATAGACCCTGACACAGGTTGGGGCCCTTTGCTCATATATCTGAGTTGATCAGCATTGGGAAATGTGATATTATGTAGTGTAGGCAAGAGAGAGGATGCAAAACAAAGACACTTGCTTTTACTCAAGTCACTGAGGGATTTTTAGTCTCCAAGTACCTGGACCAACATGTATAAGTCCTGACCACATATTTTTAGGTTTTCCCCTTAAAACCAGTGATTTACAACTTTGCCTGCACCTGGGTTTTTAATAATACCAATGTCTGGAGTCCACCTTCCTATCTGCCCCCCACCCCAATTTCACTGGACTAGGCCATGTCTTAGGTAAGAAGAGACTTAAAAATCCCCCAGAGGATTTTAATGCATAGTCTCACAGAACCACTGCTTTAAACCCACTGTCAGAAAGGGCCTAGTGAGCAAGTTCTTCCCATAACAGAGCCAGCCCAACTCAGGGTAAGCGCGCCGTGGTCACCTGCAGTACTTGAGCGGAATCCCCGAGAACTCGCTGCCGTCAGATTCGGGCTCTGATCGGTTCTCAAAGTCAGAAATTCGAAATACAGACAAGCTGGCATTCACGTAGCCAACCATGCATCTAGAAGGAAAAACAAATACCATCATTCGAACACTGACCACCTCCACTACAATCAGTTCACTAAAAACCCCTACTTCTTACAAGTCCCTGCAGTGGTAAACAACATTCACGGGTCATGCCTTGTCATAAACACTCAAGTTGGGGTACACGGAAAAGTCCAGGGCATGTTGAATCAGGAACAGGTCACTTCTTCTGTTGTAGCCCTTCTTGTGCAGAATCTCATCCCCCCACTGCCTTCTACACTTCAGTGTAACAGGTAAAAGACAGCACAGCATGAGTAGCAAAATTTCAATGTAAGTCACTGCTTTCATTGATGAGACACAGTCCTTCATTTCTGAACATCTATACTTCCTCATAATGCCCTGACCATAATGTGACTATATCCCCTCCCAGCTACCATCCTGCTAGACTGCATTCCCTGCACCTCATGCCTCTATCAGGCTAGCTTTTCTGTTAGGAATTCCTGTTCATCTTTTCTAAGTAGAAATGGTGTTTGTCCCTCCAGTGCCAACTGAAATGCTGCTCCTTCCAGGAGGCTGCCTTAATTCCCCCAATCAAAAACTCATTTTGTTCTCTCAATGGTGCCACTATACTTACTTGGCAATTACTCTACAGCTTGCACTAGAGGTGGCTGCATCTGTGGGCACCTACTCCTTGCACTGTGTGGTTTTTGTTTGGAGCATAGGTGTCATGTTTCTGTATCCTAGACAGTCTCATGCAGTGTAGGGATGCAGTAAATAATAAATTGACTCGACTGGAGGAAAACTAAAATACCAGTGAATCTCTCTTGGTCTTCAGAATGGAAAAGGAATAAAACTATTGCTTCAACTCCTGGGTTTCCCAGGGATAAGTTGCCTGAGGACAAGACTTTCACTCTGTACCGGGAGTCAGTGTATTACCATACGGAACACTTGGACTTTAATCACATTTTAACTTGGCTTTCTTTCTAGTCATGTAATCTTGGAAATTTTTTTAAACTTCTTTAAGTGACAAAAGTGTCCATCTCATAGGGTCGTTGTGAAGATTAAGTGAAATGATATATATGTAAAATAACACAGGGCTCATATAAACCAATGGCTTTAGTCATGACCTTAAAGACATGAACCAAGAAGGCTCATTTGTCAGGTTGCTGATGGGTGAAATAAATGATCACTGGGTGTGTAACTCTGATTGATGGAACAATTTTATAGTATACATCATCAGTTTAACTTTATAAAATCTCTCTGATGTCTGCTCAAAGGTGATTCTAGTTCTCTCTTCTCTTTTTTAAAGGGTTCCTGTGAAGATACCCTGAAAAAAGTGACTTCATTTTGCGAACAATCTTCCAGGAATCAACTCAGGTAGGCTAAAGTTGAAAAGAAAGAATGTCATTAAGAGGAAAGGTTAAAAACACTTGAAAAATTCTTGTGTACCCACTGTATGGAGAACATTGCCGCAAAGTACAATATTCCTGTCATGGACAGATCTGGCTGGAACTTGACAATGTCTTTCCTACTATGCCTCTGAAGACCTTGGCAAGCAGCCATGATCGTAGAGAGACTGTAATTGGAAGGCACAGCCAGGAATAACTGAAGCATACAGGTCTAAGGACAAGGGCCATGGGAACTAAATGAACCTGCACTTGTGAGTGAAATTCTCATCCATAGAGCAGCCAGAAGAAGCGGAGAAAATAGTAATAAGGAGGCTTTGAGGTAGCAGGGAGTTTCAGAGAAAGGTTATTGGCTTGAGTACTTTTAATTTAGGGTCAATTTAAGTTGAAATATGGCATTTCCACGGCCTATTAAAGCATCGTTTAAGTGGGTTTTGTCTCTGATTGCACATACTATCCCCAAAGCCTCTGACATTCTAAAATTTGCTGCTGCTGCTCACCAATGAGGTAAGTCATTTCTAAAGCATTTCTAAATTGGAAAAAGACAAACTTGAAAAGGACAATAGAGCGGCTGGTGGGGCAGAAAATAAGATTCATGAAGAAACACATACAATTATAAATACTTGAAAACAAGAAAAATGAGCAATGGATTCAAAGAGAAAAGGTAGATCTATAAATATTGAAAGTGGCTGGTTTTCTCTACACACCCACCCACCCACCCCTACAGCCCCCCACACACCCCCTCCCAGGAGAGCTCTACAAAATGGAATGTTGGAGGTTATTTGATACTTTTAATCATCATGAACAGTCTTAATTCTGAAGTGTTGATTCACTACCAACTACACATAAATGTTCCCGCTTTCCCCCTAAAACAGCAGAGGTTTTGTCATATGTGGAGTAGGGAGAGAAGTAAAATAGCCATTGGAATTTAAACCCCAGGCAGATTCCTCTTTGATGAGTCAGGTAACTACATATTGGCAATGGCCCTGACGGGCTGTGGGGCTCTGGGTGGAGGGTACTAGGAAGCTAGGGTTTGTGTGGGCTCCAAGTTACTGGAGTTTGATTAGCCTTGATTCTGGATTTAACCTCTTTGTCAAATGCAAAACATCTGTGAAAGTGGTTTGAACAAAGGCAGGCTCTTTTTTTTTTTTTTAGGCTAAGCAAGCAGAGAATGTTGACAACAGTTGCAATTAGAGAGAAATGCATGAAGAGTACCACATAAGTCTTTAAATCTCTCTTTAAATGGGATGCTCACTTACAGTTGCTAGATAATTAGTTTAATGGCCACATGGTTATTGCATTAAAGAACTCCATAGACGCCTGTTCCAATAGCTGGATGGTGAGCTTAATCACATTTGATCATCCATGCCTTAGAGTATTTATGGAGGATTTATAATGAAATTGGACCTAGGCCAAATGTCAAGATTACAACTGACTTGATTTGGTAGCATTTTACTTCTTGAGGCTAATCAAACTCCAGTGACTACAGAGAAGGAATTAGTTTGGCTGGCTCAGAATGAGCGGGCAGGGTTGCTTGTACGAGCAGGCAATGGCTCATCTGGGATAAATGCTGAGATCCTGAGAGAACCCTATGATGCTAAAACACACCCAACTCTGACCTACAGACATCTAAATCCCACAGTGAGCATTTTATTATTCTGACTTTAGCCAAACAGGGATTTTCCCCCATTAATATCATTAAGACTTATTTTCCCCCAAAGGTGTAGGGCTCATATAATTTTGCCTAGGATCTATCTGACCAAAAATATAGGATCCTGGCATTGGGAATCACTGAGTGATAGCACAGAACTGAGAGCTCAGGAGGTTTAATTAATCAGGTCAATAGCCAGGAAAGAATCATTCATTTATTCCACAGCTAATTATTAAATGCCTACCATGTCTGCACATTTCCCATGTAGAACATGGAGTCTACAGATAACAACACAAGGGGAATTAGACTGTAATTGTCACTTTACAAACTCATAAAAATGCCATAAGTATACACTATATCATGCACCACTCTTTGCCACAGGCATTCGCTTACCACACATTTCTGAATTCATAGGGGGCAGGGAGGGGCAAATGAGCCATTGCTGCTCTCACATTGGATTCTGTTTAAGATTTGTATGACCTCTACCCTGTCTATAGATCTTTGGCTTAAAGTTATATCACAATTCCACCTCCCCCCTCTAGGCTTTCTGGTTTAAGATTTGTGTCCACTTAGCTATGGAATAAGTGAATGATCCTCTACTCCAATGTAGAGGCTTCTGCCTGTCTGCCCAACACCACACAAGGGCTATGAACTAGAAATTTCGTGATAGATTTTATTCCAAACTTACTTTTGTCCGGCTTCTCCTTGGCCTGCACATGGTCCATACTTATAAGCATACACCAGGCGAGGGATAAAATCCGATGTTATCGCAATCACAAATGCATTTGTGATAACAGAGAGAATGCCAATGCCTTCAAGAATGCCATACCAAATTCCTGTTCAAAGAGAAGTGTCATGTTAGTTCCAGACATAATGGAAGAGGCAACAAGTACGAAAACAACTGATAAACCCATTTTCTTTTTTTTTTTTTTTTAAGATTTATTTATTTATACAAGCACTGGGTACAGTCAGAAGCATGGGAGGGCAAGAGAATTCACCAGAGCCAGAGCGGGGAGCAGAGCAGGCAGAAGGACAGAAGTACACTGCTGAGGGGAGCAGCGGGCGGCAGGAGAGGTCTGCGAGCCATGTGGGACCCTCCTCTGGTGGCCGGGGAGCAGCCGGGGATCGAACTGGCGCCGCAGAGGCTGCGGGCAGCTTCGCAACCCAGCGCTCAACCGCTGCACCACCGGGGAAGCCCGATAAACCCATTTTCAATAGTCCTTTCCATGGGTCCTTTGATCTTCCCCAATACTGACATTTGAAAACCAGGAACAAAAATTTGTACTTATAAATACCTTAACACTGATGGGTTATTTGTGGTAGTTTCATTGCTCAGGATTTAAAAACTCAGGTCAGACACATGGCCAATCCTAGTCACTATAAGCACATCAAAACTGACGAGATTGGCACATGCACCAGACTGGAGCTCCTTGGGGTATAGGCTGGACCCCTCCAGTTCACTGCTGTGTGCCGAGGGCTGATGTATGGACTTGGGCTAGATGCTCATTGAATGTATTTTTCAAATGGAGATTAAAAGATCACACTCTGACTGAGTACCTGTCTGCTCCGCTCTAAGCATTGGATGCGAAAGGAATTAAGTCTTTGGTCTCAGACAACGAGAGGGTGCATCTGATTCACCTCGTCTCCTAGTCAAAGCCCAAAAGACTTCTTTAAGAAAACTATCACAGGACTCAGACAAACATTCAGGAAAGAATAAAGCCAGGTAAACAAATGGAATATCTACTTCAAAAAGGAAACCAGGGATGATACTAATATTTGTATGATTTTAAAGTCTTAAATAGAAATAGCCAAAGTGACATCTTATTTAAGCACAAATTCTCTAGCACTGGAAATTACAAATATTCAAATAGGGAATGTTACTTCTTATTTAGTAGTATTTTTTTTTTTTTACTAGAATTAGAGGAGTCATCTTACATGGAAACCACAAGTAAAAGTCTAACACTTTTTTTTTTCCACTTTATCCATCAGATGATAATCTTTTAAACACATCCAAATCAAGCTTACCTATGTCTTTGGCCCGTGAAGCTAAAGGTCGCCTCCACTGGGTGACAAACTTGTAAGCATCAAGTCGAATTTCAATTATGTTATTCAGTAAGGCCAGAAGCGGTGCTAGAGGAAAAGCTGCCACAAATATAGTTGTGAATCCAAACTGAAGAACTAAAATAGAATGAAAAGAAACAGAGCATTGGTTTTCGAAAGAATAAAACTCTAAATGTGTCATTGTCTTCACACACATCTTTCCTAATATAGACACAAAGGGAACTTATCTTCCAGAAAAATGGCCAGAACACTGGAAAGAGAGGCCCTCCCTGGGCCTGCAAGCAATGGCATCCGGGAGTAATGGTCATACCTAGAGTCCAGATCTTGTTTTCTATATATCATACCCTAGTAAAAAGGACCCAATGCTCTTTGGAGAAATGTTTGATTCCAGAGCTATGGTAAAGAAAATACAAGATGGGCCTGGACTATCTGTGATGACAGAAAGATAGGAAGTTATGGGGATACATCACTAGAACACATATAACAGAGTGCTCTATGTCCTTATATAATGACCTTCTTTGTCGCGTTACATTTTTTGTCTTGAAGATCTATCCCTGCTCGCTTTTGGCTTCTGCATGCATAGCTTCTTCATCCCTTCACTTTGAACTGATGTCTTTAGAGCTGAGTCTCCTGTAGGCAGCAAATACTGATTGGATGGATTAAAAAAAAAAAGACCCATCTGTCACTCTGTGCTTTGTAAATTCAATCTATTTATACTTAGTGATTATTGTAAGGACTTGGTACATCTTATCGCTTGACTTCTGGTTTTGTGGTTCCCTTGTTTCTGTCTACTTCTGTAAATTGGTCATTTTCCATGGAGAAAGGCTCAGCCTTTCCTTTGTTTTATATACATACCTAGATTTTTGCTTTGTGGCTGCCCTGAAGCTTACCTAAAACATCTCATAGATAAAATAGTTCATTTTATGCCAATAGCAACTGATCTGCATTCACCTATCAAGGTTCCATATCTATCCTTTTACTTTATGCCTTTTACATTTTTTGTATGATTTACCTCTTTATGCTATGAATTTTTAACAAATTATAGTAGCTATCCTTTTTTATTCCTTTCCTTGAGTCTTTATAGTTAAGGGGTTCATACATCATTCTAATACATATAGAATTCTAAAAAGTTCCATCTTTTCACCTCTAGCAGCATGTGGTATACCTTCAGACTAATAACACTGCAGTCTTATTTTTTCAGAAGTCTAAAGACCTGAAGACTCAGAAAATAGACCCTTTTATTGGCACACTGACAACTACACTTCCACAAGTTTTCTTATTTTTGATTCAAGTTGGGCTCCAATTAAAATGCATCTATCTAGCATATTAATCCTTACTAGTGCCTAGATGTACTTTTCACGAGGCGCTGGTGACTGGGGGGAGCAGGGTAGTACTTGGGGTAAGAGACAAAAACAATATATGACTAGAGGAAAGATGGGTGTATATCAAATAGAAACTGCCTATTCTATAATTTTAAGTGCACATTCTGGAAATACTACACAGAAGTGAAGTTCAAAGTTCTACATGTAACAAGATAGAAGCATTTTATAAACAGGATGTTGCATAGAAGTCAACTGCAAAAGAATATGTATTATATAATTCAATTTATTTGAAGATTAAGAAAGGCAACATTAATCTCTGGTGTTCAAAGTCAGGAAAAGGGTTAGTGGCAGGGTAAAGGGATAAAGGAGCCTTCGCTGAGATGGATAATACTCTTTCCTGAGCTAGCTCACAAAATGGGAAATACTTTTGGTAAAGAGCCAGAAATTTAACATTTCTGTTACGACTACCCGACTGCAATGTAGTATAGGTATGGGAGGCTATAACGTATAGACTCCTTTTTTTTCCCCTAATCCAAAGATTTATTTCCCTGGCATCCTATCTGAATATTTTTAAAGTATGGTTCTATGTTCTAACTTTCCTTTTTACTGCTTTATGAAGTTATGTATTTATACTGTGTGTAGTGCAGTTTACTATAGAAAATATGTAAATAGGTGGGTACAGTTATGTATCAATAAAAATAGCAGATTGGATTTGGTCTGTGGGCAGTAGTTTGTCAATCTTTCAACTACATAGATTGGTCATATTCGTGTGTAACATTCATTGTTCTTGACATTTACGATTTACATATTTCTGTCACTATATGTTATACCTCAATGAAGAAAAGAAAAATTTAAAACAGGGAAGTCAGGCTTCACTTGTCTACTTGTGATACTTTGAGATTTCTTTCTACAAAGATACTGCAATACTTTGAAAATAACTATTTCTAGCCACATAAAAGCTGTTCAAGCACCAACATCGTTCATTTCCTTCTTAATGGTCTCTTCTCCCATAAAGAGACCTCGAAGTGGTTGTTTCTCTTAATGAATTCCCTTTATTAAGTTTTATTATTAATGCCCAAATTGATTTCTTTGAGTCTATCATTCCGCCAGTCTATAATTGAAACTCTAAAAACATCAATAGATACTTAGGACCTAAGACATCTAAGAAACATTAAGCATCATTCTACTCATCTTAATTTTCAAATTCACCCAAAAAGAACTTTTTAAAGTAGTACATCTTGCTTCTCCCTCCACCCACTTCTTAAACATAAAAACCCTACAAACTCGATCTATATTTAGCTCGATATAATGGCTAAAAGATTTTACTAACTCCCCCCACCCCCCAGCAGACGACAGGAAAATAATGATATAGATAACATGTACCAAGTGCACACTATGAGCCAGACACTGTTCTAAGATGTTTCCATACATTAACTCCTTTGCCACTCAAAGATTCTATGCAGTGGCTATTCTTAGCACAGTGTAAGCACTTCTAGCTTCTTGCCAGCCCTACTCTCAAAGAAATGACCACCTCTCCTATGCATACCCTGCTGATTCAGACTGCAGCATCTATGAGCTGCCTTTCTTCCCTCCTATCTTTGTATTATTTGAAAGCTGGGACTGTGTCTTATTCCTTCTTGTACTTTTAGCACCCAGCATAGTGTCTGCCTGTCCATAACATGGCCCAATGCATGCCTGCTGGCTGCATGAATCCACCAATCACTCCATGAGGGACAACTTGGTGTGTTGAGTTAATTAACTGAATTAACCACCCCATTCAATTATAGAATGGCAGAATGATAGACTCAAAGACATCAACTTTGGCATTAATAATAAAACTTAATAAAGGGAATTCACCAAGTTACCAACCTCAGTTTTTGTCTTAATGGGGCAGGGCCCAATGTCAGGAACAGTTTGAGTCACTAGGCTTTGGTACCATCTTTAGGGATCAAACTTCCTAAAGCCAGACTTGACTCTGCATTTAGCTCAACCTCCATTTCCTGTCTTCCCCCACCCCAATATACCACCAGCCTTGATGATGGTGGGTGTATGTTCAGTAGAAAATATCTAAAGATTTAGGAACTGTACTTATGATGAATAGGTAAAGTAGAATTTCATACTCATTTCTAAGTATTCGTCAAAGAGTCCGTAGGCATTCATCGGCTGGAGGTTGTAGTCCTTTTCCCATTGTGGGAAACTGATTTTCCTTTCAGGACCATGTTCTTGTCGAACTTTTCTTCTAGTCCACCAATTCTGAATTAACCTGCACAACAAGATCCATTTTTAAAAAAAGGATGTGTATAAGGCTTAAAATAAAGAGGAGTTAGGCTATAGAACCATGTTAAAAAACAAATTTAGGACAAGCTGCCGAGGAAATAAAGTCTTGGATTAGGAACAAAATAACCGTGGAAGTGATATTTCAGTCATCGGCACTTGCAAGTGAACAGAATAATTGATAAACTTATTCATGAAACTGTCATGCTCAAAGTACTTCTGAGGGTTGGGGAGCGGACTGATCCCCTAGTGCAAGGTAGTCACATATCTGGGTAGAGAGAAAGAGGGCCTAGCTGCCTAACTTGGGACCTATGAGCAGTCTTACCAGGGGGGTGCTGACCTATACCATGATTTGAGGGGCTAGAAAATCTATAAACTCATGAAACACTTCCTCTCTTCACACACGAAGGCTGAAGATCCACAACTGGACTTGCCTCCTTTTAACTTGTGTTCGATAGGGGCTCTGACGCCCAGAAAAATGCATTTCACACCATGAGGTCAGCACGTTAATCCTTACTATTCAGGAGTGTATCTTATAATAGAGAACAGGGCTGAGAAATTGGCATTGGGTCAGGTCTATGTGCTGTAGGGCACAAGGAAAATATTGACAGGTATCTGGGAGTAGAAATGCCAAAAAAAAAACCACAAGTGAAATAAAGGACATACGAGGATAGATATCAAAGACAAACTCTGCCTGCTTTATAATTTGGTGCATAATAGTGAAGCTTAAATATGATTCCCTTGATGTCTGATATTTTGATAAGTGATGGTTTATACCTTAAAGTACAGTATAATGCTAATTTTTAAATTTTATCCTTTTTTTTTTTAAGTTTGCTGGAAAGCATCAAACATGGGGTGTGCATTTACTAAAGATAAATCGAAGACTATAAAATTATTTGCATTAGTCTGACAGGGAGCTAGGAGATGACTATTTATTTAAATATTTTATATAATTCTTACATCTTTTTTCATCTTTGCACAATGTATGCATTTTCATTTTGGTTATATTCCACATACAATTGCACTTCCCCTTATTTTGACTCTAGTCCTTCCTTTCCCAGCCCCTTCCCCCCACCCCCGTAGTGTGTCTCTGGTTTATAGTTGCTTGTTGATTTTGATTTTTACTTTGTATTGATTAGTCTTTTTCCTGGTCTCTTATTTAGGTTTTCTAAATTCCTGCTATGAGTGAGACCATCCGGTATTTTTCTTTTTCTTTATGACTTATTTAGGAGATGACTTTTCAAAGGGAACCAAGTTCTAGCTAATCTTCCTGGCTGAGTGGTCCTCCCCGGAACCAGGAGTTTCTCTATGGAGACACCAAGCTAACGTGGAAACTAGAAAGGGTGGGACAGAAACAGAAGTGTGGATGATGTGTGCCCCTTTATAACTTAACTGAGCAAACACAGCAGATCCCAAGGTTATCCTTACAAAGGTGATAATTTTTGGCTTCTATCATTAACACAAACTGTCATCAGGTAAAATTTTTACTAGTTAAGGTACATTAACTTACAAACACTCTGGTTTCTTTTCTAAACCCCCAACTTCTTTCCAGGAGTTTTCTGTTTGTTTGTTTTTTTTTTATAGTTAAAAATAATTTACCCTTCCTGATTTATTGAGGGGTGAGGAGTGGAGGTTTTGTAACTGTCATAACGAGAGATTTGTTTGCAGTGGTAGAGCTGAGAGGGTCAGAGACATCAAAAACTGCCCTGCAAGCAGCTTGAAGTGATATTTACGGGTCCATATTTCTTATGAATATTCACCTGCATTTGTGCAACTTGCACTAAATCTTCCAAAAGCACCATGTTTGTTTTTTCCCTGACTGTCTTTGAATACTTAGTTCCAGGGATGCACACCAGCTTAACTGCTGCGTCTGCAATCTTATCTTACTTGCCACACCTAGAAAAGCCAATGCTGAACAATGCTGTCTTGCCACTATAAAATCTAAGGTACTTACGGGTAGCCAAGTTCCATGAAATTATTCCAGGTCTGCTTTAGCACCATTATAATACCCATTTGCATACAGAGATCAATAAGGCATCCACTAGGGTGGCACTGCGTGGTAAGCAAACACAGAAATTCAAGAATCAATGGAGAGGAAGAAAGGGCGTCTGCTTTTTCATCTGCACAAAGTTGCCCTATGTCTGTTTCATGGAAACAAGGAATGAGCGAGTACAGACCTCTTCTAGTCTCCACCTGTTTATCAGCCTCAAGTAGGCACCTGGGTGTCCTGTAAATCTTCAACACAGAGAGAAAAAGAAACCATTAGCATCCTGTTGGTCTGTCAGTGAATATTATAATCATCTTAGCGCAGCCTCCAACAAAAATTAATGGGATGATAGGTCTGGGAATTAGGAAACTTTCCAGCTATCATAACTGTAACTTCTTGGAGGAAGATAACACCTCTGACCATTGCTTGATGTGGCTTTTATATTTTTCTGGTGAATATCAAGCCTTCTGGCCTGTGTATGCAAACCATTTGACCAAAATTCCATGTGGAAACAGCTAGGAACTGAGGACGGGCTGCTGAATCCCTTTCACCAAAAACCAACCCACTGGCCTTTCCCTGGTTCTCGCCTCTGCAGAAACTTTTCCTGGAGCGACAAGCCCCTCTAAACACTGGGGCCTCTCCAAAGCCTGTAACTGCTGATGTCATAGCTGCCCCATTTCCTCTGGCATCCTGTACCCCCCCCCACTTCCTGCCTGGCACCCAGCAATGCCCCCCTCATGTCCTTGCAGGGGCAGAGCCAAGGGCCTGATTCAGGTGGAGATGGAGCCCACAAGCTCTAAATCCATCCTTTTCACGTGCAAGCAATTCCCCTCTACTTAGCTGTGCAGACTTGCAGAGGTATTTTGGGTGGAGAAGACCACCCCGTGGGTCAGGGATGGAAAGGGGCCCGAGGAGGCTGACCTCGTTTTACACTTTCTCTGCCGCTCCTGGGTGGTGACCCCTCAGGGGTCTGTCCACCCCTGCGGAGGTGTGGAGATGGGGCACTTACCTTCCGAGGAAGAAAGCGATGTAAAACGTGGAGCTGTTCAGATTGACAAACTGAAAAAGAAACATTTTCAGGGTGAAGCTGTTCTCCCACTCCGACTCCGTGCGAGGTTGTTCTGTGGACGGAAGGGGAGAACTTGAGAGGCCGCACCTGAACCCGATCTCAACTCCCTTTTCCTCCTCCCAGTTACGCAGGGTGGGAGCAGAGGAGGCTTAGCAGGGCCCAGCCCCAGGACCCTTGAGCTTGCAGACCAGCCCCAGCAAGCGTCGGGTGGGAAGTGCTGACTGTCAGGGGGACAGGAGCATCCAGTTTGTCCCTCTGGTCCAGGACACCCAGCGAGCCTCGAGAAGGGCCAGCAGGGACGAGGGGCTCAGTCCCAGTCCATGCTCCCTGCAAGGGTCTTTTTCCTCCTAGTTTGCTACAGTGGGGGAGGGCCCGTGTGGGGTCAGGTGCCCTCCCAGCTCAGAACATGACCCCTCTCTCCCTGCCCTCCTCCTCAACCATTTCCTCTCCCCTGGACACGGCCCAAGCAGAGGCCGTCTCTTGCCAGCATTTGCTGTGATTGCCCCAGTGTCTCAGTCAGCTGCCCATTCTCCTCGCCTTATATTTCACCGACCAAAAAGCAAATGCTCTTTGGGCAGACATTGTGATAGAAACCAAAAAATGGCTTAATCCTCCCACTTGAAATCTCGTGTCTAATGCATTGTCTTTTCTTAGGTGCTGCAGCCTCACCCCAGACACCGTCAGAGAAAATGTATGTAATGCAAGAGCACCTTCCCTGGTTCCACACTCCCTGGGCTGCTAATAGCTCATTTACCACTTCCCCCCTCAATTCCTTTTCTACAGATGACTCAAAATGCTTCCCGGGGGCATATCTGGGAAGGTAGTGGAGAAAGAAAGAAAATCTGATTTAAATGTCAATTTCAGAACAAGGCTCTACTGCCTTTGAAGAAAAAACAATGGGCTCTTAAGGGGTTTTATCTTAACAACTTAACACTTGGTGTTCCAGAGACTCCTAGGTCATCAAGTCGGATTGGTGAATTCCCAGATGTCCCAACCTCAATCAAGGAGCCACTGATACAGTCCACCAAGGGGGTAGCTACCTCTTCTGTGGACAGAAAGTTCTATTTTGAGCAAGGGATCATAATGGTGGGTTGCAGTGAGATTAAAAGAGATACACAAAGAGGCTAGCTGTGTATCTGGAACACAGAAGGGTCAATAACTGGTCTATTATTATCAATACAAATATTTGATTTTTTTCCCATTCTGGACAAGTTATATATGGGATCACACAATTTTCTCTAACTTCATAGAGTAATATGATCGACATTAATAAAATTATGACAGTTTCTATATGTTGAAAATATGGAACATGTACAGCTTCTAGCTGGCTATCAGATTGTTCTGGTGCTTTATGAAGCTCTTGGGGTGACTTACTCAGATGAATGTTATTTCTGCAAATGTCAGTGATGGCTAGCCTAGTGAAGAGGCTCCCAGTCTTTAAAGCAACTAATTTTGCCTGATTTTGTAGGCTGTGAAAGCTGTAGACAATAGCAAATGAATACTTTTCTAAATGATTCTGGGCACTTTACTCGCATGTTCTTTTGCCATGCTATAGTTTGTGTGCATTAAGAGAAAACCTATTTCAAATCATGCTAGATATTCATGACGGGTTTTAAAGCTTTGGGGAGAAGTGATTCCCCAATTCCTAAATGTATTTAAAATGCCCCATGAAGGGCAAAGAACAAAGTGTTGTATGCAACTCGAAATAAAGAGTGTTTCTTTTCAGCAGTGTCAGAAATGAATTTTTGAAAAAAGATACTTTTAAACCACAGCATTATTCTGTGAAATGAAAAAAGGTTCCACTTACCTAAGTTTGTCAAAAGAAGTGCGACTTTTTCATAGAGCTGTAAAATAAATTTCATACCTTTAATAGATGAACTGTACATATTCTAATATCTAATAACTGGAAGAAAATAATCAAGTCGTAAGTGAGAATAATTTCATTAACCACTCACTGCTTAAGCAATGAAAATCTTGTGAATAATTGTTCCCTTTCGGGGCAAGAAAGAAACATTCCGGGTCATATTTTATTATTTTAAAAAATCTCACTCTGGACACACCCAGAACACTTGGAGTAAAACTGTGTCACTAACCTATCCTTAAGTGCATCCAGAAAGCATCTTGCATCAACTTATCACTGGAGGACGCTTGATTGCCCAGGTACCTGCATAATGGAAGGTGGGTGGCGAAAGCCCAAGCCATTGGCAGAGCCAGAGAGGGAGGGAGAAGCTCGCACGCAGCCCTGGTGGAATATAGGGAGGTGGCCAGCGGTGCCAGAGCAGGGGCGAGGTGAAGAAGGGGTCGGATTTGGGGCGTACACATCTCTACAGGTACTACACAGAGGTGGGGAGGAAGCACACCCCCCTCTCCTGAAGCTGGAGGGCATGGCCAGGCAGTCACTGCGTGTTCTCCTAGCCTGGTGTGGCAGGCAGAGGCCCCAACCCCTCTATCCACCCTCCCCACCAGGAGAAAGAAAGTTTGTACCCAGTCCACAAAGCCTCAGCAGCTGCCAGCAGGGTGCTTAACTGTGGCAGTGCAGCACCACCAGGGGAAAATTCCAAACTTTTGGGGACCCAAGTTCCTAGAATTCCTGCTCAGGGCGGTGGAGTCCCCTCCTTGTACCCCTAGGAAGTTTACTCCTAGTTTTCCAAGCCTCAGTCTCTTCCAGTTAGAAAACCCATCTGATGTCCCCTGGACTCCTAGCCCACTGCAGATAGGCAAGTGCCACCTCCCCAGAAGAACAATGATACACCTGGCAGCTCACTTGGTGGTTCCAAAGGGCACCCTATTCTGCCCCACCTAGACTTCCCTTGGCTACTAGCACAGTACAGACAGAGTCACCAACGATAGGTGTACCTAGGAGAGTTGGTGTCTAGCTTAGCAGTGCCAAAGGCCCATCCCCAGGCAGACTCTGGGGCTTCCACTGCTGCAGGACAAGCTCATGCCTCCCAGAGAGGTCTCGGGTGCTGGGTGTGCAATGAGCTGACTGCAACCAGGACTGCTGGAGCTAGCTTGGTGGTCCTGAGAAACACCCGCGCCTCCAGTCTGTACTTGACATCTGGACGGCCTGCCAACCACTACTGATCTGCAGCTTCTGGTGGTGTCTGCCTGCAGCCCAAGTGCATAGTCCTGTGGCCACTCTGCTTGTGCCAAGGCCTCAGGGGAAAGGCACTGCCAGAAGACCAGGTGAGAGTAGAATTAGGCTGCAGCTGAATGGGGAGCTGCAGTCTGGGTCTTCTGGAAGAGCACCACCTCCCATGGTCTGCCTTGACCAGCCTAGATGAGTGAGTGATCAGTAGAATCTGATTGTTCAAATCCCTGTCTCATCCATTCCTAACTATAGACCTTTCAGATCAGGCCCTGTCTGAGGTACTGGGAAATGAGAATACAATAAAAACAGACAAATGTTTCTGTCCTCAAAAGTCTACATCCCCAAGAAGATGACAGATTATCAGCAAACTGAATTTTAAAACAGCATATGAGAGCATGATCAGTGCCATAGAGAAAAATAAGGCCGAGAAGAGACTAGAAATTGCAGGAATGGGTTGCAATTCTAAAGAGGAAGGGAAGCTGTTTGTGAGAAAAGGAACAAAGACCTAGAAGAGGTGTAGGGACAAGCCAGGCCGACCCCGAAGGGGAGACTGTTCCAGCAGAGAAGAGCCAGTAAAAGGTGTGGGTGAGAGCCTGCCCAGACATCCCAGGAGCGAAGGGAAGGCAGCTGGAGCAGAAGCAGCAGGTGGGCAGGGAGGAGAACCACAGAGACAGCGCCCAGGCCCGATGAAGGAGAGCCCGGAGGCCCGTGGAGGTGTGCATTTTTAACTGAGTTAGAATAAAGGCACTGGACATGGTGGGCAGAGGACTGGCATGAGCTGACTTCATACCAGTTGTGGCTCCTGTGATGAGCTTAGCGTAAAGGGAGCTAATAGGCAAGCTGGGAGAGCAGTGAGGAAGGCACTGCAGTGTCCCGGGGAGATGCTGGGGATATGTGGGAAATGATCCTGGATACATTCTGACAGAGACAGAGAAACAGGCGTCAAGGATAATGCCATAGCTTTCAGCTTGAGCAAGTGTGAGGTGTGTGTGGGAGGAGCTGATTCTGGGAGTTTGGGTTTGAAGGTGTTAGGAGGTGTTTGACTCCTGAATTTAGGGCTCAGGGGAGGCGTCTGGGTTAAACGATGCATTTTAAAAAATCCTGAAATTGACACGAGCACCACACACCACCCTGCTAATTTCCTGGCAGGGTTACCCCAGGAATACTTAGCATCCTGATGACCATCCATCCCTCAGGATCCAAATGCCAAGGGAAACCACTCTGTAACATTACAGATTCTGAGCTGGGTCTTTCAAAATACATTCTTTCTCTAAATTTCCCCAAGGGGTAGGCATTGTTATCTTACTGAATTGATAAGGAAACCTAAGTTGAGAGAGGGCAAATGCCTTGCCCAGTCTTACTTTAGAAAACCCTGGAGACAAGACTTGACTTTTATCTTCTAGATTCCCAGGCCTGAGCACATCCCAAGCCAGGCATTTGCTACCAGGCTCTCCTGTTACCACAGAGAGTAAGTCAATCCCCTTAGAAACACAGCAGAGGGTCCTCCCCGGTGGCCCAGGGGTTAAGTCTCAGCGCTATCATCTCTATGGCCAGAGTTTGATCCCCAGCCAGGGAGCTACCCACATGGCACAGCAGACCTCTCCTGCCTCGACAGCTGCTCCCCTCAGCAGTGTACTTCAGTAGATCCACCTGTTCTGCTCCCCACTCTGTCTCTAGTGACTCCTCTCATGCCCCACACCTCTGGCCTACACCCAAGTTCTTCTACACAAAGAAAGAAAAAACGATCTTAGAAACACAGCAGAAAGCTATCACCTACACATTTTACATACTCAACTGGCTGCCTTGCAGCTCACTCACCACATTCAGCAGCATGATGATACAGAAGTTGATGCACACGGCAGTCCCTGTAGTTGCGACCTGAGAGTTATTCCTGATTAACGCCCACTTAAAGGCAGCGAAAGTGCTGACGGTCACCACCCGGTAAATGACGATGCCGAACACGGCAGCGATCACCACGCAGATCTGGCAGGAAGACAGAGGAGACCCAGTGAGCCCTTTGGTGGGATGTTTCAGGAAAAGAGTTCCCACCATTTGGAAAATCCTCTGAAGAAAAAAGGAAATACAGTGAAGTCAACTGACTCAAGAAACCAGACCAAATGGTAGGACAGGGAGAGCTTAATCTGTGTGTATAGGTGTTACTTTGAGAAACAAAAACCAAAAAGTCAATTTTAGGGGGTTGTAGTTGACATTAAAAAAAAAAAAGACTAACAAAAAGTGGGAGCTCATTGTGTATTATAAATACAAGCGTTGTTTTAGTTACTATATTTAGTTTTGGGCACTGTCTGCATAACTTACTCTGAGAGGGGATCTATTTTCTACACGGGCATGGTAGAGACAAGGGTGAGCCACTGTTGGAGGTCACAGTGTATCTCACCATGACAGAGTGGCAAGTGGAAAGAGGATCAGATTAGGAGACACAGGCTCTTGGCAGTTTACTGGCTGATCCTTTACCTTTTTGGAGGCTCAGTTGCTCCATCTGTAAAACAGGGACAGCCAAACCATCCCTGATGGCCTCATGAGTTGTGAGGATTACATAACAATGTGCAAAAATGTTTTGAGGAACTGTGTAAATGTTTGATACAATTACTGTTGTTACCACGCGACAGGTCTATACAAGAGTTTTTTTTTAAAAAGTTTCAAACCATAAAAAATATTCCCGATGCAGAAACAATAAGTCTGCTGCATTTATCAGCAAATGCTTGATAAGGTTCTGGCTTCCCCGAAATGGGATTCATCCGCTCTTTCTTGGAGTACTTGGCTTCAAACTGGGGGCGTATTTCTTCCTAAAGAACAAGCAAACACATTTTCATGCACTGAAGAGGAGCTCAGACAATTAAAAAAAAGAAATCACTATAAGAAAATCAAAATCAACAAAAAACTATGAACCAGAGACACTTTTTGGGGGGTGGGAGGCGGGAGGGGAGGGATTGGGGTCAGAATGGGGGGGGTTGCAATTGTATGGGGAATATGAAAATAAAATTTATTATTTAAACAACAAAAAAAAAGAAATCACCCCATTGTAAATTGAATCAACAGATACTATGCTCATCAGCCAATCAATGAGGTGGGTTTGGAGATTTAGGTTCAAATGTTTGGAAATTGGCCACTTGAAATCTAGAAGCTGAGACTTATAACCACTAAGGCACGGTAATGCAGAGAAATAGTTAA